CAAAGTAAATGAGTCATCAGACTAAGCAGAGCAAAATAACAAGTATACCTCCTATGTTCTGCTTTCTGCCTGTGATGTTTTGCAATTCAAGAACTTGATTTTTACCTGCAGGCATCTTCTCCAAATGCGCTTTGGCTTAAAATGCCTGATACCAGAGTGAGTGGCTTGAGCGCTCAACAACCACATAATCTGCGCCTTAGTTCTATGCCTTACAACTCAAGTATTTTTGAACATCTGAATATACACATATGTACATATATTAGACATATATATTTATGTATGTATGTATGTGTATATTTACATGTGTGTGTACTTTTTAAAATATACTTTTTTTTATCATAGCTAAGTTTTTACAATTTTGGTTGGTCCACCCCTCTGGTCATAATAGGATATCTTCATAAATCTCCCCATTTAAAAAAAAATTATCTAAAAAGGACTGAGAACTTACTGTATTGGTTGTCTATTGCAGTATAACAATTATCACAAATTTAACAGCTGAAAACAACACCCATTTATTAGTTCACAGTTCTGGGTCACAAGTCTGGCACAGTGTGGCTGGGTTTTTTCCTCATGGCTGAAATCAAGATGTTGTTTGGGCTGAGTTCTTGTCCAGAGACTGTGGGGGAAAACATCTGCTTCAAGGCCATTCAGGTTGTTCGCAAAATCTACTTCCTTGCAGTTGTAGGGCTGAGTTCCTCGGCAGCAGGCATCACTGTCAGCAGCTGGAGGCTGTTCTCAGGTCCTTTCCACATGGCCCCCTCCCTCTTCAAGCAGGCAAAGGTACACTGAATTTTTCCTGTATTTCAAATATCTCTGATTTCCTCTTCCGGGACCAGCCAGAGAAAATACTCTGCTTTGAAAGGGCTCATTTGGTTAAGTTAGGCCTACTCAGCTAATTTCCCTGTCTTTGGGTCCACTGATTAGTAGCCTTAATTATATCTGCAAAATCCTTTTTGCCATGTAAGTTAAAATCATGGGAGCCATCTTAGAATTCTGCCTAACACACTTACTTAGACCTTCACTGTTACATAGATTCAGTTTTTAGGTTGAATGCCATGTCAAATCATTTGGAACATTAAATGTGAATCACCATAATTATATTTAGGTTAGATTACTTTTATTGTGAATGTGACTAGATGTTTTGTGGTGCTGAAAAGTAAATTTGCTTTTTAAATAAGTCTATAAATCTATCAGATAATGGGACATTTAAAAAGACATGTTTTAAAGGGTTACTGTAAATATTCAGTATATTAGCTGGAATTCTTTGATTCTATCAGGTGACAGTGAATAGTGTATCTCCTCAATGTATGCTGTTAATCATGGTCTTGGTCATACACTAATGATACCAACTCATAGCCTTTCGAGCTGAAAGATATCAGAGATTATCTGCCCTCCTCCCCCTGCCTTTTTCATAAATGAGGAGCCAGAGACTCAGAGAGGGGCTATGACTCAAGGGTACCACAGAATCTGTGAGTAGTGGTAGAGGCTGGCCTAGGATACATGTTTTCTGATTCCCTATCTGGTAATAATAATAACAGTACCATTAACTGAAGATTTTTTATGTATTAGACAGTATTCTAAGCACTTTAAATGTATTATTTTCCTTAATGCCTATGAGGTGGGCATGATTATTATCACTGTCATTTCACAGTTTGAGAAAAGTGAGTCACAGAGGGAGTACGTAACGTGCTCAGTGTCACCCAGCATGTCAATGATGAAGTGGGGATTCAAAGAGAAGCAGTTTGACACCAGGGCTTGACCTCTTAACTGTGCTCTGTTCTTCCCACCGCCAAGCTGCTTCTAACAGGGCCTGCCGTGTGTAGTCACAGAGTCAGCATAGTGTAGTCTCCATAGGCAGCTGCACAAACAACCCATGCAGTTATATTCTGACAACAATTTAGTGAATAGCAGAAAATTTGGAGTCTGGAAACTATGTACAAATCCTAATTTTGTCACTTACTATGTGGTTTCAGGGAATTATGTAATCTGCAGAGGCCCTTAGATGCTATGTCTGTAAAACAGGGGTTTTAGAGTTGTTAAGAGGATACATGTAAAAGCATCTGTAAACAAAAGGATTATATGCTCATTGTATTGCTATTCTTTGACAAATGGTACTGGTTCTTATCACCCTTTAAAAGCAGATTTTCAAGTCACTTTAGCTATGATAGAGTCAGACCTTAAACAAAAAACAGTAGATCCTTGACATTGCAAATTCTATGTCCTGAGACCTTCAGGAATCTCATTTCCTTTGCAAGTCATATGCTTTCAGTACATATACTCATTCCACATGTTCAAACTTCACTGGAGTTGTGTGTCTCCCTTGATGGCAATTTTTCACAAGGGCATTGTTCACAGGAAGTGAACATTCGCCTACATGGAGAGACAGGGGCTTATCCCTTGGTCTGGTTCCCTTACACCAGCCTAGTACTTTCCATGATTCCAGTTCACATTTGGAGAAAATTTTATTACTTTTTGATGTAGTCATTTAAGGATCACTCTCAAATAAAATTATAAATATTAAATTCATGAATACCAAGGTTTACTCTGCATCCTTATTGTTTTATTTTTTTAACATTCTCCCTCTGTTTTACATATATGTGTATTTTTTTTTTTTTTTTGCTACACCATTTGAAAATAAATTTCAGACAATATAACATTTCAGGTTTAAATACTTTAGCATGTATCTCCTAATGAGAAGAAAATTCTTTATAATATATGCCATTATCTACCTTAAGAAAAATAACAATTTCCTAATCCCATCTAATATCCAATGCATATTCAAATTTTCCCTACTTGTTCTAAAATTACTTTTATCCTATTTTGCTTGTAGAGTTTCTTGTTTTGTTTTCCCAAACAAGATGTCAGACTACACTCATAGCATTTGATGGTTATATCACTTTGATATCTTTTAATCTAGAACAATTCCCTCACCTTGTTTGTTTGTTCTCATAATGTTAACTTTTTTTAAGAGATTAGGCTAACTCTCTTAAACAATATCTCATGTTCTGGGCTTGTCTGATTGGTGTGCGTGTGTGTGTGTGTGTGTGTGTGTGTGTGCAATTTATCTTATTACTCTATCCCCTGTATTTTTGAAAACTAGAAATTGTTTCCAAAGACCTGATTAAAACGAAATTGTATATTTTTGTGTAGAACAACTTGATAGGTGATACTGTGTATTTTATATCAGGCAGTACATATGATTGCCTGACTGTTGGCACTACTAAGTTTGGTCACTTGATTAAGATCGTGATAGCCAGGTCTCCCAATATTAAGTACTGTATTTTTTTCTTTAACAATTGGAACGAATTTGTGGAATGATTATTTGGCTCATAGGAATATTCTTTTCCCAACCTTTCATCTAATGGTGTTAGCCTCCATTGATGAGCCTTGATGAGCCTTGCTTAAATCATTTATTCCACTGGAGGATGCAAATTGTTGATTTTTAAATGTGATCATTCTTTTATCTTTACTAATATTTCTCTGTAAAAGATAGCTTTCCCTCATCAACAGGGTGGGGTATGCTTTATGTTTTCTTACAGTTCATATCAGTACAACATGTTTACTGTCAGTTTTCTAAAATATCAGCCTTAGATTATGGAACTGAGTTATATAGATCAGTCATAATTTATATTTTGTATAAACGCTTTAAAGCATTTTGGTGTACATTAAAGTTGGAAGTGGAGAATGGATGAAATTTAAAGCAGTGTTTCAAAATGGTGAGCAAATATAAGACGTTTGCTGAAAAGAGATTTCAAAAAGCCAACTGGCATATCAGCAAATATTTATAGATCTAAAAGGAACTTATTAATACCAGGCACTGGAAGAGCTTATCATATGGTTGTATCCCAGAAAGTTAATGATATGCACAGTCAATGTGGATAAATATTTAAGCATGAAAAGAAGTGCACATAGAAGAGCGCAAATAATTTGGACTATTACTCTGTTACCCCCGCTTTGGTAGCCTCTCAGTTCCACATTCCAACATTCAAGACCTTTGTAATTTGGGCTCAGTTTCTTGTCTAATCTACCTCCCCCACTTAATCCTTCACATGCTTTGGTCATTGCACCTCCCTTAAAAGCACATGGTCATTCTGTCTGCACCTTTGCCTGCTGTTTCCCCTGCCCAAGGCACCGTCCCAATCTGCCCATTTTTCAAGGCTTGCTCAAATCCCATGCTTTCTGTGAAGCTTCTTCCTCCCTGACCTCTCCAGATAGCACTTCCTACCTCTGTAGTACTTCACTCAGTTTCTTGTTTGGTCTTCTAATTGGCTTCTCTAAGTAAACCTCATCACCAATGTTGAAGATCCTTGAAGACTATCTGTCACCAAAAATTACAAAGCTCTTTTCACATGATACTACTGGGGTTTTATATTCCCCTTTGAGAATCTTTCTGAAAGTTACCAACAGATGTGACACTCTTGGCAAACAGAACTATCTCCTTTGTATAGATTTTTTTGCCTTCTAATATCTATCACCTTACAAAAACAGATTTTCTTATGAAAGTTAAATCTAGAATATGAGGATTACTCACCATCTGTTCTTTGTAAATAGTGTGAAGGCCTGGTTCTCTTACTATGAGAAAAAGAAAGGGAAAAATAAAGTAGGCAGAAATTAATCTGACATTTAAATATTACAATGAAAACAAAAAGATAGATATAAATTAACCTGGCATTGAAATATTACAAGAAAGCAAAGCTTATTTCATTTTTCTTAGGTTGAGTCTTTTTGTTTCTTATGTTAACAACTTGAACACTGTTTTAAATGGAAATAAAACAATGATGTTTCATGCTTCTTAAAGAATTTTTAGAAAATTTTCATCCCACTCAACAAGACATTCATTGTTGAAAATTGTTTTAAACACCTTTTCTTTGTCTCCTTAATAAGAGCACTTTGTATTTACGCAGTTCTTTACATCTGAGGATCTCAGAGCATTGGCTAATGTTTGTTGTTACTAGGTAGTGATGACAAACCGGTCACACCTTTTGTTTCTCTCTCTGCAGAAGCAGGAGGTAAAAAACTACGGAGCACTGTCCAGAGAAGTACAGAAACAGGCCTAGCAGTGGAGATGAGGAACTGGATGACTCGGCAGGCAAGCCGAGAGTCTACAGATGGCAGCATGAACAGCTATAGCTCAGAAGGAAAGTGAGTGAGGCCGCCTGTGATGTGTACCTCTTCTTCGCTTTGCCCGCCTCACTCTCTGTGCTTTCACAAAAGCTAACTCACACACTCTTAGTTTGCACTGGCTGATTTCCTGGGAAGAGCACTTTTTCACCTGCCGCTGAGCAATGTGGCATGTCCAGCTTTTTATATCAAGGGAAATAGTTTGGGGATAAAGCGTTTTACTTTAATGGCAATATGCTAAACTGTGATTCTCACAATACATGCAAATAAGATATTTTGCCCTAGCTTGAAATAATGTGTAAAAGCACAGAAATAATAAGCACACATGCCATACCATGTGAACGATGCTAGTTTTTAAAATCTTTGCCCTAAGAGTTATTACTAAAAAACAGGGAATGTTAATATTATACTTAGTTCCATGCTGTAACAAACAATTATAATTACTTAATATTATAGCCAAAAAGAAATACCACCAAAAGAGTTGGTGAGCCTTTTAGGATTTTTGTTTTTTGTTTCCAGAGACAGGGTCTCACTCTGTTGCCCAGGCTGGATTGCAGTAGCATGATCAAAGCTTACTGCAACCTGGAACTCCTGGGCTCAAACAATTCTCCCACTTCAGCCTCCTGAGTACCTAGGAATATAGGCGCATGCTACCACACCCAGCTAAATTTTTAATTTTTTTTTTAAGAGATCAGGTCTTACTATGCTGCCTAGGTCTTCTCAAACTCCTAGCCTCAAGCAGTCCTCCTGCCTCAGCCTTCCAAAATGCTGGGATTACAGGTGTGAGCCACTGCACCCAGCCTAGCCTTTTGTTTATGTAGTTATCATGCAGCTTCCCTTTGAATCAGCTGTCTCTGAGATATTTTTAAAGCTTTTGTAAAGACTATATAGCCCTGTCACCAACAAATTAACAATAATTAGCAAGTAAAGATCTATAAATGAGGCTGTAAAGGACAGTAATAGAGGAAAGTGGGGTTTACTGACCTCACTCTGTTGTCACCATGGAAGCATTAGATGTTTAGACAACATATGTGTAGCCAGTTCACAGATGTGAGGCCATAGGAGCTGTTGGCATAGTATAAATCATAAGCCGTAAGGATAATTTGTCTAGCACAATTACATAAATACAAAAGATATGTATGGTTTCCATACATTTATAAATAGGATCATATGGGATACTTATGGAAATAGACTAAAACGTTTGTATTAACTGAATATTTGAGAGTTGAGGTGGGAGGGGAGAAAGAGATTTGGTATTCACCAAGGAAGTCTAAAATGAGAGGGAGAATCAACTGAAAAACAAATGTGCACTGAGCACCGATCATTATAAAGCAC